TTAGGACCAGTTTCACAAGTGTCGGTTAACTTTTAATCTTAGATTAACTCACTCTTCGTCTTTTTCTAAGGGGGACGTTAGAAGGAGGCGAAGAGTGAGTTAATCTAAGATTAAAAGTTAACCGACACTTGTGAAACTGGGTCTTAATAGATAATAACGGTGTTTATTCTTTATCTATAGAATTTCACATTTTAAAAATTATCGTTAATTATTATAAATTTCACATAAATGTGAAGGTTTGAATCAACGCTCAAATAATAGCTTCTTGCTTGCAAAATTTGACATTTATCTGAAAATTAAAATTATAAAATTACGATTATATTTTTCAAAATTATGAGATACAAAGTTCGTAATAATTTTGAAGAATGTAATCTTAATTTTGTAATTTTAATTATCGTAATTCGTTATTAATTGGAATACGCAAGATGGAAGCGCGGCCGCCGCGGCCAGAATATCCCCTCCAGCTGGCTAGTTCGGGTTCGGCACGAACCTAGCACGGACGCAAACCATGTGCGGTTACCGAGCGATACGACGTAGTTGAGTTGCATTTTCTCAGGCGGCGCGTCGGAAAATGCAACACAGCAACACACGAAAAAGGCCGGGATGGCCTCTCTCAGGTTTCTCTCTGATTATGCGAAATAAAAATTAGAACAAAAACTATTATTTTCTTCTTTTGCAAAGATCTAAATTTTTATATTTTTCCTAAAAATTTCTCTATATAGACTCGTATTTCTAAAAAAAATTAGATTTTAGAATTCAATCAGAAACACAATTAAAATGGATTAAGATTAAAATTATTTGATTGGTCAAATTCTTATCTTCAGTCCGCCAGCCTCAAATCTCCAATCGCAGGACTTTGGGCCGTAAAGAGTAGTGTAACGAAGTGTAGTGAGTGTAGGTGAAGAGTACAGGAGTACGATGAACGTGAGATTGTTATGAACCGTCACGATTAGAAGAATGGCTAATTTGCGTTTATTTGTCGCCTCGGCTGCGAGTTCATTAAACAATTATGGATTGGCAAGGTACAATGGTGAAAAAATTACTATAAACTACAATTCCTCTTTCTAATAATCTCTTTTTCCAACAATTTTCTTCAACATATTCCACGATTGCTGTCCTATACAATTTTCATATATTTATTGAATAATTTCAGATATTACCTGACGAGTCTTAAAAGAGGATACAGCGTCTTTCCGCCACATTATATTCAACCGATACCCAGGAAAGAAGATCAAGAAGCTCTGTTTCAAAGCGATGAAGCGAAAAAGATAGTGCACGAGCAGGTGAAGCCAGCACTAGTCATGGACACTTGCTCTGAATTTTATGACAAAAGAGTGCTGTAAGAAACTGTTCCAATTTTCTTTAATACAGATTGTCGTGCCGTCTCATAACGTACCCACGTGTGTTCAGGAAATTTCTTAATACTCTCATGAAGAACGGAAATAGAAAATTGGCGACAGCATTGGTAACTAATACTTTCGAGAGTGTCAAAAGATTGCAATTGGAGCGCTATCACAAGGCAACGACGAGCGAGGCGAAAGAGAATATTGAATTGGATCCATTTGCAGTTTTTCACCGTGCTGTTGATAATTGCATACCAATTCTACAATTAAAGAATTATAGAAGAGGAGGAATCACGTATCAGGTAATACATTATCAACTATGTTAAATTACGTAGCTGCGGACAAGGTAAAAAAAATGATCTTTTCAGGTTCCTATTCCAATTGCACCTCTGATGGCACAGCACAAGTCCATGTTGTGGTTAATACAGGCTGCGAAGGAGAAAGACGACGAAGAGAGATTTTATCATGTACTAGCCAAAGAACTAATAGCAGCTTCTCAGAATCAGGTTCGTAAGCATCTTCTAATAGAAACATATAATTGCTTCTATCTCAATACATATACTATAAACGAGATACGTGTATTACAATGATATTTCTATTTGTCTCAGGGTCGTGCGGTTAAATGGAAGCAAGAATTGAACAAGAAATGCCAAGCTAATCGGGCTTACGCGCACTTCAGGTGGATGTAGTTAAGATAGGTTCTACGTATACATAAATAAAATAATTCTGAAACGTAATGACACTTTATGGAAGTATCTTATACGAGTTCAACAAAACTGTTAAATTATTCCCAGAACGTATCTAAAATTTTCAACGTCGACTATCCGTCCGAACTTCATATTTATCTTTAAGTTCGGCTTTTGCGAGGCAAACACTATTTTTCTGTATAGAGAATCGGTGATGCTGATCGGATTGTCTGACATGGGAAAGATCTCGTCGAGAGGCGTTTCCAAGTCTATCCTCTTCCCCCAATAGTCGATGTAAGATAATATCACTTTCTTTTCGTCCAGTTTCAAGTATACGTATCCTACGAGGTTGTTGCACAAAAGTCCAAGGGTATGCAACCATAGTGTCATTATAGCTCCTGCGGACAAAGAGAAAATGTCTATAGGAATCGTAATCGTTTGAGAGAAATCTAAAGTAAGTTTACAAGAATTTTACCAGTTGTTATTGTCACGACAGTCAAGTCGAGAGGCAAGATACCAGCCAGATGAAGTCCAATGATCACAGGCGTGGCTGCTGCAGCGAATATAGTAACCCGACGTTTTACAACGTTTATACCGCAAACTTGCTTGACAAAAGGAAATATGTAGATTATTTTATAATCGGGGAACCTCTCGGAGACAACTTTCGCATGTTGCTTTTCTTCGCTTTCCTTTTTCGTTGCGGCATGACTCAATGTTTTTATATTCAGTGAATTCAGTCTAATGCTGTTTGAAGCACGATGTAAAGATCGTTTGTAAAGGTTCAACAAGAGTCGAGGATACATCGGGCGTTATGTCATAATAAACTATACGCGAACGAAATTGCAATAATAGCAATTCTTTTGAAATGCCTCTCCAGTTGAGGACTGAAGCACCTTCAGTCTTCTATTTTCAATTATATTGAACCCATTTTATTGTATCCACTGTAAATATACATAGCTAGTCTTTTAGATTATTCTTCGTGTCTTCTTAACAAAGTTGCATATTATGTTCCATTTAAGTTTTTCTCCTTTATTGGCTCGAGTACACTTTCTTTATCAAAGTAGTAATCACCAATAAAGAGGTTATGTACGAAACGAAATTAGAGAAAGATCGAGCGTTTCCGTGCAATAATCGTGAAATTTATTCTTTTTTTTTTATTATCACATTACGTTCCCTTCATTCGAAATGAAATGTGCATTCGTATATTCGAGAAAGAAGCGAAAAGACGAGGGCTGCAAGAAATTACGGAAAGTGCAGCTGTAAGGAGCAGACGTGTAGTGCTGATCGTGCGAAATCGGGAATGCCATTGCGGGTGTTATTCAAATTATTTCTCTTTCAAGTCATTTTTTTTTTTTTTTTAATACTTAAAACTGCAATTCTATTGCTGTTATTCAGGTTTAATTACCCATACAACTGTAAAAAAAATACTAAATCATGAATCTAATATTATATTTATACAGCTCCATTTAAAACATCGATAGTCGATAATATCAATACTCTTCAATTATCTCCAGGCTACCGGAATAATTTTATTGATCACGATAATTCGAATATTGAGGATCTTTAATCTCATCTATACTTTCGAGGAAATGGAAAAGCGAAAAACTATAATAAATGAAAAAGATGCAAACGCGAAACGGAATTATCTGTGGTACAGCGTGTAAGATTTTTCTTTACAATGAAATTCTTTTTCTGTATTTGTATCAGCCCTCGTCTTTTTTCTCTTTAGCATCTGACGATACATCTATTTCATTTTAAGCATAATAAATGCATTTGCATTGAATTTCTTTTTCCATAAAGGAAAGCTCGCTGCGCCATTGGCGATTGGCTGATCGGTCAATCTGTCAGAGAAGAGAAAGAGAGAAAGACATATCGCATTCGCGAGGCAGACAGAGATCCAAAAAGACGGCGGAAGAGAGGAAAGGGAAAGAGAGAGCGGAGAAGCGCGGACCGCGCGCAATATCCGCGGCCGCGCATGCGCCACGATTCTCGTCGTTGGAATGGTTGGACTGGCGATACTGGCATCCACTGGCATCACTGGTTGTCCCGGACGCTCTGCTCCGCTCCGTCCGCGTTAGCCATGTTTTACGTTTACGGTCAGAATAGTCAGATACGGTCAGCGTGCAGCTTGTCGTGCGTCGAAAATGCGTGCCGCGAACGGCGTCCCGAGTGCCGAGCTGCCGTGTGAACGGCCGCGACGACGGTAAGGCGGGCGGCCCGTGCGAGGGCGACGGCGGACGCGCCGAGTGGCATGCGCCCGCGCCTCCGGCTCGCACATCGCGCGCGCGTGTAACGGCGGTGGTCGTCTCTCCTCTCGGTGACGGTGACGGTGACGGCGGCGACGACGACGACGGCGACGGCGACGGCGGTGAGAGATCTCGGGGGGGATTGGGGAAGTTTACCGGATCCCGAGGCCTTTACTCTCGGCGACGCGCGTCGGAGTCTGTGCGTGTGCGGACGGACCTGCTGCCGACCCAAATGGAGCCGCGTCCCCTCGCCGTCCTGCTGGCTTTGTTGTTGACAGCGCTTGCACGAGGTGAGTTGCCCCTTTCCCCTGTCTTCTTTCCGTCTTTTCCTCTCGCCCGCTCTCGTCCCGGCGCGGGCGCGCGGTTCGTTTCTCGGCATCGACGGCGCGGCGTGTCGCGATTTATTATCCTCTCTCTCGTCGCACACAAGCTGATTCTTGTTGAACTGTATTATAGATTTGTAATCATATCCTGTACCACCGTCCGGATCTAGCGGATCCTCGGCAAACCGTGGCACCGCGACCTCAAGTTCGGAGAGCTACAAGAAGAAAAAGAGAGAGAATCGTCCTCTTTTTCCGATTCCCGGCGGCGGATTGAATTTGAAGGCTCGTTTGACGTTTATTTCTATCTACCAATTTAGATCAACTCTGATTTCGGTCTTTTATTTTGTTTCTAGCTCGAAGAATTAGAAGAAGGTAGAAAATACGTGTTTAAATCGAGATTAAAGCTAATCCGCATCGATTAACTTTAATCGCGTTGAAACGGACATGAAGGATTGAATTTAACGCGAGAGAACGCTCTCGCGTCGCCTGGCGCGGGACAGAAACGCTGCCGCGCGTATACTCTCGTTCGTTTTATCGTCTGAAATTTCAATCGAGGGCCCTTCGGGGAAATTTCCGCGCGGACGCGTCCGCGCGGAGGCGAGCAGCCGGGAGAGCCGCCGCGCCGGGAGAACGATCGACCTGTCAACGGGCGCGCGACGGCGACGGTGATGCTGGAGGCGCCGATTTGCGCGGAGGCGGTTCTCGGCCGCCGCGCGACAATAAATAGAATAAAATCGATAGCCGATTCAGAATAAACGCGACGATCCTCCGCCGTTTCGGCTCCGTGCGCGCCGCGTATTATGCACGTCTTTCTGCATCTGGAGGCCGGCGTAGGCGAGTAGGGAGAAAAATGGGGGGGAAGAAAAGGGGGGAAGAGCGAAACACAAAGTGCGCGCGGACGGGCATGTAACTGACGGCGAACGGATACAGAAAGGGTTCAAAGGTTCGCCAATTTTCATTCCTCTCGTTCCCCGAGCTGGAAGCATGCCGGCCGCCGCCGCGTCCGTTTCGCAATTCTAGCTTTCGTCTTCAATTTATTTCGTCTGTACGTTAATTTCATTCGTTTTAGACCATGGAGGAAACGGGCTCGTTTAATGATTCGCGAGACTGAAGGCGGGTGTGCGGAAAACCGAGACGAGATACGTTCGCCGAGTCTCATCGACGTGTTCGAATCGTCCCTCTTTTTTTTTTATTCTTTTTTTTCGTACGATTGGTTCTATCTTGATCGCGCTTTGATGCTTTTTTTGAAATAAGCTCTGTCCGGTTTATAGTCGTGATTCGAAAAAAGCTGTCCCTTTTGTAGCTCTGACAAAATTGTAATTTTTCTTTTAATTACAATCAAATTACAGACCATTTATTTCTGAAAAAATTAAAGAAAGTTATAAAAGTATCGATTCGATGTATTTTTCATAAGAAAAAAATAGGTGAAGATAAAAAAACGTGACTTTACAGAAGAGTTTCAAAGGTTTTGACGTTGTTTGCATCGCTTGCGACGATTTATCTTCTTTTTCTTTGTTTATTTCAAATAAAGTAGAAAGTGCAATAACACAGGTGATAGATCAGATAAAAATTTCAAAAAAATATTCTTAATATTGTGTTATTTTTTTAATTATCCATCATTTAGATTGCGAAATAATTATATGCACCATCTCGTTTTTTAGATAGATGTATCCAAAATTCATGTCACATGCGGCTCAAAATGTGCGAGAATTAGTCTACGTTTTTAAACTAAAAACTTGATATTTTTGTTTGAAATTGAACTCCTTTAATTGGATCAGCGAGATGAGATGAGAGCTCAGAAATTTGTTGGGACTTTTGCGAAATTCAGAGAGACATCGAGGAACACGTCGGACGAGTATCGAATCCTCCGTTCGCCTTTGCACAGTACAGCACCAGCTTTCTAAGAATTATTCGTCTGTCGTCGAGTTCCGAATCGATTTGTCGCGCCTTGCCTTTAATAATGTCTTTAATATTCGTAGGGACGCGCACACCGTCTACTCAGATCGCGTATAAAGCGATAACTCAGCCTCATCTTACAAGGACCGTTCTCCCCCTTTGTCTCTCTCTAATCTCGACTTCCTACGTAGTCCCGTTTTCTCGCTTCTCGCGTTTAGTTTCGAAAACGTCATCTCCGAAGCACTCTAAACACTCTTTCCTCATCTCGTTCATATTCGTCTTGCTTACGAAAATTATGTGATGTTTCGCAAAGCCGAGGATGTTGCCGTGTAATCAAAATGCATTGGCACGCGATACGTAACAACGTGTATTGTACTTCTCGCGAAGGCATTTTCGGGAATCGTTGGAAAAGCATTGTTACGTTGCTTCTATATGTTTGTACAGAGGTAGAAATTCTTCGTGAGATTCGGTCGTGCGTTGCCGACGCACCTCCTCGCGCGGAGGAGAAAATCGAGTTGAGAGACCCTGCGCATGGGGTGACTATTATTGATGCAGAGAGCAGGGAGAAAAAAAGAGAAAGAGATGAAGGAAGAAAGGGAGAAAAAAAGAACGCGGGGAAGGCAGCGAAAGAGAAGATTACGCCGACGAGAGCGTTGGGGTGACTCCTTTCGGGATGTACTTTCTATCGCGATATGCTGGAGAATCAATCGGCGGAGAATCAAATTAACACCTTGTTTACAGTTTAATGACTACGAAATGAAGTTTGACTTAATAAACTTATCTGTCTATCTAGATTTTTATTTGTCATAATATATACGATGTAGAGAGATAATTCACTCAATTCAGTCTGTGTAGCATAATGGGTGGCAGTGTGGTCTTGTGCGGTAAAGCGCCAGACTCGTAATCCCGAGGAACCGGGTTTGAGTTCACCTGATCACAGGAATTTTTATATTCCAAACTGCACCCCCCGTATGAGTGGGGCTCGTGCGGAGAAACTGGGCTATCAAAAAATGTGGAAACATTTTAGGAACATTCTAAAGGGCATTCTAAAAAAAAGCTTTTTTTTTTAGTTTTTAGTTAAGTTTTCGTCATATCTTGATCGTTAATATAAAAGTTGATAATCTCATGAGGCCTTTGATTTTTTTATTAAAGGTTATAGAAATAAAACTGAAAACAGGGATAATACAGTGCCCTTCGGTACGTGTCGGCGATATAAATTGACATCGTTCGGATTCGGGACGGAGATGGGACCCTTATTGTTGTTCGCGCCCAAGTTATATCGCAGCATCTCGTAAGGATTCATTGAGGTTCTACGGCGCGGGCGGCGAGGACGGCGATCGCAGACGCGTGAAGTTAGCCCCTCCAAATTTTGGAAATAATTGAATTTTTATAAATGATTCGATTGTTCACTGTTTTTGTAATAAATATCTTGTTTTTATTTTTGTTTGCACATTTATGTATACCTACAGTGTAAACTTTCGTTTACATATATTGCTTTCTCTTTTGCAAACAAAAATTTTAACTGTACGTAAATGTGCAAACAAAAATGAAAATACAAGGCATTCCTGTGCGAACAATGAACAATCGAATCAAGTATAAAAATTCAATTATTTCTAATATTGGGAAGGGGGGGGGGGCTAATAACTTCACGCGTCTGGCGACCGACGGCGGCGGAGAATAGAGCGAAACATTCCGGAGCCCAGCGCGCGTTTGTACGGTTTATCGCGCTCGCGAATCGCACGCAGTAAACATCCGAACTCTCGGCCGTCCGCGATGCCTATCTCGGCGATACCAGTCTCTCGCGCATTCGAGCGTCGAGCTCTACGAGACCCACGAATCGAACCCACGATTCT